TACCCTTGCAAGATAATTTTTCTGGCCAGTGTCTTGGGCCCTTGGTGGCTGGAACAGATACCTTCATGGATTTCTTCCATTACAGCTGCTGCTAGATCGGGTGGGAGACATTTCAGATACGGCCCACCAAATGTCTTTTTGTACAGCTGCCCATCCACTAATTCGAACATGGAAGCCCTCCTCTTGATGCATTTTATTTGATAGGCAGGATTCTTATCTTGTGGGAGGGTTCCGTCATTCAGGTAGTTGGTCATATCTACGACCCAGCTCGGGATGGCATAAGATATGGCCTCGATCTGGAGCACCATGATTGCTGGGGTTGCCAATGTTTCCCGATGGGCAAAACGTTGGATATGAGCCGGGATCTCCTGTGCCCGATCGTCGAACGCTGCATTTTCTAATTTGGACATGATATCTGCTTCAGTATTTTCGATTCTGGATATCTGGTCGAGCACCACCCGTTCAAATTTACGTATCTGCTCCTCGACCATTTCCTTGTAGGCCTTCATCCTTTCTTCTTTGGCCTCAGCAGTGCCGTTCACTTGATGTACCACCAATTGACTGTCCGATCGAACTTTTAACCGATCGGCGCCCAGGGCCCTTACATACTTTAAACCAGCAATGAGAGCCTCATATTCAGCCTCATTGTTGGTCACCTTGAAATCAAAATGAATGGAATAATACGCTTTGAACCCTTTGGGCGATGTGATCACAGCTCCAGCTCCACAACCTTTGGCACTAGATGCTCCATCCACATACATTTCCCACTAGTTATACAGCCCGTTGTTCCCTGAATCATTTTCTGAGGGTCGGGCGGTACATTCTGCAATGAAATCTGCCAGGGCCTGCCCTTTGATAGTAGGCCGGGGTTTGAAATCTACCTCGTATTGCCCGATCAGGAGGCTCCACTTCGTAATGCGCCCACTTGCCATAGGATTTCTCAAGATGGTGGCTAATGGCTGGGTAGTGTACACAGTTACCGGGTGGGTCTGGAAATACGGGGCCAGACGTTTAATGGCGGCTATCAGGGCCAGTACATTCTTCTCTAGCAAGGTGTACCTGGTTTCCGGGACGTTCAACGCCTTGCTCACAAAATAGATTGGCCGTTGAACGCCATCCTCTTCTTTCAACAGTACTGTGCTTACGGCCAAGTCAGCCACAGCAAGGTACATATACAGATGTTCCCCTGGTTCGGGTTTTGTCAAGACCAGGGGGGAAGACAGATATGTCTTGAAATCCTCAAAGGCCGTTTGGCATTCGGCCGTCCACTCGAAAGGGTTGGCTTTCTTCATGATTTGGAAGAACGGGATAGCTCGATCGGCCAGTTTGGATAGGAATCTGCTCAGGGCTGCTAGCCGACCGGTCAACCTCTGCACTTCCTTGAGATTTCTCGGAGCCTCCATGTCCACAATTGCCTTTACTTTTTCTGGATTGGGCTCAATCCCCTTCTCGCTCATCATGTACCCCAAAAATTTGCCTCCTCTTACAGCAAACGGACATTTCTTGGGATTCAGCCTCATATTCGCTCTTTGCATTATCCCGAACACCTTTTCTATGTCCAGGACATGGTTTTCCTTCTTTTTGCTCTTGATCAGGATGTCATCAACGTAGGCTTCCATTGTGACACCCAGCACATCTTTGAACAGCATCCCGATCATCCTCTGAAAGGTTGCCATCGCGTTCTTTAATCTGAATGGCATGACGATGTAGCAAAACACGCCATCCGAAGTAACGAACGCCGTTTTCTCTGCATCGGCCGGGTGCATGAATATCTGATGATAACCCCGGAAAGCATCCATGAAGCTCAGTAACTCACACCCGGCAGTCTCATCCACTAGCAGATCGATCCTCAGCACTGGGTAGGGATCCATGGGGCATGCTTTATTCAGATCAGAGTAATCCACGCACATTCTCCAGGTAGATTGTTTTGGGGCTAGAACCACATTGGATAGCCATTCTACGTGGATCACCGGACGGATGTGCTTTATCCTTAGCAAGGTGGCCACTTCCTTCTTTGTGAATTCCCGCCGTTCGGTTGCTTGATACCGTTTCTTCTGTTGGACCGGTTTTGCATCAGACCGAACGACAAGTTTGTGACATATTATTTCTGGATCAATGCCGGGCATATCTTCTGGCCCTCGGGCAAACAGCACCTGAAACTTTTTGAGGACGGCGATCACGCCATCCCGGATATCAGCCTCCAGATCTACCCCAATAGCAACCTTACGGTTCGGGGGGAAGTCGAGATCGATTTGTTCAAGAAGGGTGGCGGGCTCCGGGTGTGCCTCGAACTCCGTTCGGTGGGTTTCCACCTCAATCGTATTCACCCGCATCCCACGAGTGTTCATCTGTTTCAGGGCCTCCCGATAACATGTCCGGGCTGTTGTTGGGTCCGTTCTGGCCACCCCTACCCCAGTGTCTGTAGGGAATTTGATGCATGAGTGGCGGACAGAGGCTATTGCCTCCATATCTTCCAATCCCGGTCGGCCCAATATGGCATTGTGGGCGCACTTTATATCTACCACCACGAACGTCATTCGGAGTGATGCTCTGTGGGTTTCATCCCCAATTTCAACCATTAATTAGATGGTCCCTTCCGCCTCGATGCAGTTACCGGTAAAACTCGCCAGTGGAGTTCGCAGGTGGGTCAGTCGGCTCCTTTATAGACCCATTTTCTCGAATGATTGTAGATACAATACATTCACACTGCTCCCAGTATCAGTCAGTACTCGGCGGATCAAAGCATTGTCAATACACATGCTTACCACCAGTTCATCCCTGTGGGGGCTTGGAGAATTGGGTAAATCAGCTGGCCCGAACGTGATCGGGTCTGTCCTTCCTTTCTTCTGGGGGGGAGCGGAGACGGATCCCACATAAAGACTTCGCTCGAACCTTTTCCGTTCGGCGTTCGAATCTCCGGTCTCCCCGCCCCCAAATATGACCTTGACCTCCATTCGAGGCTTCTTTCCAGGGCCTCCCGAGCCCTCTGGCTCATCCCTGGGAGGAACATACACATCATTTTGAGGTTGGGCGTCACGTTGAGCATCCCGGCGCCAGCTATTAGGTTTCCTGGCCGGTTTTAACGTGCCCATTGCATTCGGATCTTTGTTCACATATTTGCCCAGATGGCCCCTTCGGATCAGATCCTCAATTGCAATTTGTAGGGCCCTGCAGGCATTGGTGGCATGACCCTTTCTGTTGTGATATTTACAGAAAGCATTGTCATCCGTTCCCATGAACTGTCCAGAATCAGTCGGGATGGGAATATTGTCCCTCTCGTGCTGATAGATGGTCGCTATTGATAGGACCAGAGGTGTAAATCTCCCTTGTTTGGGAGGTAAAGTGGCCGCTGGGCTAGGACCCAGCCGATCGGCCAGTCTGATCGGGGCAGCAGGCGTAATGACCTTATCCCTGATCATTATCTCCTCTTCTAGGGCGGCATGCTTGTGAGCCCTATCTAACACCTCGGCGTACGCCGTACCCGGATTCTTCTTCAATTCTTTGTACAACTCCCCCGTTCGGAGAGCATTCGTGAACAGGGTAATGGCAGTATCATCCGTCATGCTTCCCACTGTTAAAGTTTCATCCCTCCACCTTTTCAGGAATTGGTTGAGGCTCTCCTTGGCGTTTTGCTTCACGCTGGTCAAATAGCTGAAGTGCCGTTTGGGATTGGCACTGGAAGCAAATTGAGCCAAGAATAGCGCTGATAACTCGGCAAAGCTATTGATTGACCCGGGCTGTAGTGTCCCGAACCATTCCTGGGCAGGCCCCCTGAGCGTGCTGAAAAACAAACGGCAAATGGCGGCCTCGGGTGCTCCTAGCAGCATAAGTCCCCCTTGGTAACTCCTCAGATGTACGTGGGGATCTCCCACCCCATCGTAAATTTGGCCGGTCGGGGGTTTGGCACCCCCTTGGATATCCGCGTACATGAGCTCCCTAGTAAACGGGGAAGTAATTCCCAGCTGAACTGGCGCAGGTTGTACAGGTACCCTGTTCATCTGGTCCCGCATTTCATTCATTTGCCTCCTCATCTCGGCCATCTCTTCCTCCTGGGCCGTCAAAGGGGGCGGTGGTGGAACCCTCATATCCGTACAGTCCCGATCCCATGCCGTTGAGGGGCCCTAGTATTTTCCCGCTCGGCATACTGGAAGTGATGACCGACGGGAGTTGGTCCTCTAGCTTGCGACCCGATCGGGGTTCGGTCACTGGGACTGGGATGCGCTGCTGGTGGGGCGCTACGTCGATTATCCCGGTGGGTCTGCGAACGGGATGACGCTGTGGTCGTTTCCGCGCGTGGAGTTTCTCCTGTAAAGCTGGAACCTCCTTCCTCTTCGTTCGCCATGTGCTGCATGAATTGGGCCATGTCTCCTTTATTTGGGCCGAACCCCGTTCGGTATGTCTCCTTACTGGATCTTTTCATCATAGAGTGATGAGCCTGTTACTTGGGCCGGATATCTTGGGCCTTCCTGATCTGGGTATTGGGCCTCTAGGTCAATATCCCAACAAGGTTGAACCTCCTCACCTCAAGGAAGAAAGCATTCCAAGGATGATTGAAGTTGAAGTTGAAAGTGTTGTAGTTGTTAAAGAACATGGAAGGACTAAGATGAAGTCAAAGCAACCACCGGCAAGGAAACTAATTATGCAAAGAACTACAAGGTTTGCTGCCGAAAAAAGAAAAGAGAAAAGCAATAGCATGAAGATGTTTTCTATGCTAGTTGACAAATGCCTAGGAGATGGGTACGTGGTCGAACATGATGCTGAAATATTCGGGTTTGCAACTAAATCTATTTTCAATAAGTAAGTGTGCGGCCTTGTAATCAACTTTGAGCAGGTGAACAATTCTGTTGTAGAAATCTGGTGTACGTAAGTTTGATTTATATTTTATTTAAGTTACCCATGCTGAAAGATATCATTAGTGGTTAATTTTGTTTTTTCATTTATGTTAGTTTTTCAGCTCTATATGAATAAACTTCATGCGGGTTTTTTCATTCAATGTGTAGGCACTTATATGAGAAGATGCTTGAAGATGGAGGTAATATGCCAGTCCAATTTTGCACGTCTGCTGCAATACTGGTACCATTGAAACCCTCAGATGAGTCCATTACAAGGAGGTCTCGCTATATAGCAGATCTTTTGGGTGTTGGTTTGCCTGGACAAATCACACTAATTCCTTATAATACATGGTAATTACGACGGTTAGAAGTATTACACTAAATCTTTTTTTGCTACTGATTCGTATCCTTTTATTTCAACCTGGAATTTTGTTATAGCAATTGATTAAATGAATAATATAACGTGTAGCAATCATTGGGTGTTGGTAGCCATTGATGTTGTGGCATGGACAGCGTACTATTTGGACTCAATCAGAGAGAATCCATCAGAAGATCTGTCACTAATTGTGAACCAGTTAAGTTATCTTTGAGTGTCATACATTGTGGTACTTAATCACAATGCATGTATGTAGCTATGCTTTTTTTTGTAATTGTTTCAGTCAGAGCATTGTGTTGAAAAATAGACACTTTTTAAGTCAATGAAAAAATAATGTACTCATATCTAACTTGTATTTGAATATCATGGGAGTGAAAATTCATCATGCCTCGGTTTCAAAGAAGAGGTTATCTCTGAATTGGGTTACAGTCATGGTATGTTCCTCATTGTCCTAAATTGTATTTGGCGTGTTTACATGATGTTGTATAATGATACTAATCTGTACTTGACGCTTATCTAGTGCCCTAAGCAAACTGGTTCTATGGAATTTGGATAATTCTTGATGAAGTACATGAGTGACATTGTATGTGATGTTAATGTCTTGAAAAAGAATGTGAGTTAAATGTGGATTGTTTGTATATATTTTTGTGGGATAACATTAATTGAAGTTTGTATATGTTTGTACTCATTGTATTTTTATACTCTTAGTTGTCAACAATAAAGGACTACTCTGAACAAGACATCTTGCAAGTGTGTGAGGAGTGGGCAGCATATGCAACAAAATTGGTCCTAAAGTAAGATTTTTTTTTCCATATTGTACTTATTTTGTTCATTATGTTAACATTTTACAGAACCTAGATTAATTTGTTATACTTGTACTTCTTGTTTACAGATGCGGTTCATTGAATGATGGTCAGGAGTTCGTGTACTTTTGGAGTGAAGGAAAATGCAAGAAACACTTTTGGAGTGAAGGAAAATGCAAGAAACACTTTTGGAGTGAAATTCTTTAAGAACTTTATGTTGGGTATACTTTTGTAGGTTCTTGTTTTGTGGAATGTAAAACTGTACGTTATGCAATGCCCCGGTTAATTGTTGCGTCATTTTTGCTTGAAACTGAAAGCCTGCGCGGCTGCGCCCATGTTGTTGTGGAAGTTGTAACCTAACATGAAGAATTAACAATGATGAAATCCAAACACTAGTATTATATTGTAATGTTTATTAGTGTGTTTGTATTTAAAGTTGGTTAATTAGTGTATTGCTTGAATGCAAACATATAAAGTAATGAAACTAATGTGTCATGAACGCAAGATATAGTGACACTTATAATTAGTGTCGCTAAATGATTTGATGACACTCTGAAAGTGTCATAGAAAAGTGGGGCTAGTGACACCAAACCATCACAAAATTTGAATGTGTATTAATATCATTATAGTTGTTGATGTCGGTATATCACTAAAAAGCATGATGCATTGGTATCACAAAAATCCTTGTTACGTATATATCACAGATCTCTATAATGTTTATATGTCATAATTTTGTGACACCAAAGTGACTTGTTAACGGTGACACAAAATTTAGCGTCACTAGCCCCCACTTTCAGAGTGTCACTAAATCGTTTCGTTAAACTAATTAAATGTCACTATAAGCCATCTTTAGCGGATTTTTGTTGAAAACTTGGCGCATGATTGTTGCACGTAGCATCCGAGTACGAATAGGAAACTTAGTGCACAACTAGTTTTAATTTAGGTGACAACTCCGGTACCTTTCTAAAAAATGGGGTACCGTACCTACCATTCATTTGATTGGACCACACCACTTTATCATTTTTAATTTAGAATTAAATAATTCAACTGCTACATTCTCATTGGTCCATGTAGACAAATGTATGGTACCTTATGGGTACCATAGAATTAAAGATTTTAGTTTTAATCATGCCACCTAGTCTTCACACTTGATTTATTGAAAGTGCGTATTGGACATGTTTTTATAATTTCAGGTGGATAACTTTTCCAATCTTCTTTTGACACGTTTCATAGTTTTTGCAATGTTGAAAGTTTAGGATTAGAGATGCTCTAATTAAGATCATGAGTCATTTTCTTAAAAAAAGTACTCATTATGTCCCGGTTGCATCTCTACGGTTGTCTTTGGCAGGTTGTTATAGGAAAACAAATTTTAGATCAAGCTTTCCCATATTTCCCTTGTTGGTATCATTTAACATTTTCATCACTTTCGAACTCTTTCTTCCTAAAGTCACAACTTCCTAATGTATATATTTGACAAATTCAAAGTGGGGCGCGTGAGGGGGTAATATATCATTTTCGTCAATTTTGACTTGTATGTACAATAATAAAGTAAAAATTGTGTTTGAAATTTGTGAATTACTTGATAATAAGCACGTATATTTTTTTCTTCATCAGCAATCGTTAAGGCGTTGACGTATTTTTATTTATATTGTGATGAGCCTAATACAACGCTAGAAGCTAGACTAAAATGGGGATCGAGGATAGTAGAGAACTTGGTACAATTTAGAGTTTCACGTCGACTTTTATTTAAGAACCCGTGAAATCCCATCAACTGAAGGTATTGTTTGGTTGCCGTTCAAAGTCAACTTTTTCTTTTGTGCATCTGTGGGCAACTTGACATGAGTAGCCAAACCCAATTTTTGGAGTGTCCAAATGGTGCACCAAGCTGTGTCGAGCTGCCACCATTCTAGACCATGTCTAGCTGAATGCTCAAAGGCATGATGATTATTATGCCATCCTTCTCCAAATGTGACCAATGCCACTAACCTAAAGATTTATGTAGCACTCAGATAAGTATTTTTGGTCTAAATTTAGTTGGTTAGGTCACATTATTTAGAAAAAAATTAAACAACTAACCAATTATTTCTAGATAGATCACCGGTTTTCCAAGGTTGATTTCCCCATACATGACATGCAGAATTCACAAGAAATGTCACGTGAAATCCCCATATACATCTTACTCCCTGTATATAATCAAAAACAACATAAAATTAAAACACTCAATATATGTTAAATGCATTTGTCCAAACAAGAAAAATTGTATTATAAGCATACCAGGCCCCAAACAACATAAGGAAATCCGCCGATGGCATAAAGCAATGCTCCAAGTATAGCAGGATGAACAATGTAGGTCTGTTGGAGGAACTTGTAGAAGGGTTGATTCTCCAAATCTGCTACATTTGTTGCCCTTTCACTCTGCATCCGTCACAAATAAAACAATAGGCATTAGCTAATAGTTTTTTATGATTATTATAAATTTAAATAAATAAATAAATAAATAAATAAAAATGTTACCCTTTCTTTTTCGGATTCAACATCAAAGACCCATCCCATGTGACTAAACCAAAATCCTTCAAGGGGACTGTGAGGGTCTTTTATAGAATCAGTATATTTGTGGTGGTATCGATGAGTACTCACCCAAACAATCGGATCCCCCTATACAAAAATTAACAAATTATTGATTGATAGAAACCTATTAATAATAAATGAAATTATATGAATTATATTAAATATGTAAAGTATGAATAAAGAGAGGATATTAAAAATCACACGTATTACGAAATAAATTGTTAAAAAAATTAATAGTTTTTGGACAAACGGCAAATGAAATAAAAAGATTTCTTTAGAAAGGGAGTACTTATCCAATCATAATTAAAGCACATTTAAAATAAGGTACTATAGAATCCTTCTTAAAATAATAAAGTACTCAATGTCTCGATATCATCCGCTAATGGGTGACAACTATCCTTCTCAATTTTTAATAAAATAATAATGAGGCGTCTTATATCATTTTTAATTTACATTTAAATAATTCAACTGTTATATTTTCTTGACAACATGTTGTTTTATCTTTGAGAGTACTATAGAACTCTTCTAAATTTTATTATGCATGATAACATTACAGTATAATGCACCAAACCCTTATGATCTAGAAATTCGTCGCATTAGTCTCTGTGATTTAGAAAATGCATTACACCCCTATGCGCTACTCCGTAGTATTACTCATGTCAACAAACCTTCTATGAACAAATTTTATTGTTAAATAAATGAAAAATGATTAACATTTTCGTATAATTTAGACTTTTAGACAAATTTACCTGCATATTTAATCATAATATTAAGAAAAACGATATTAAAATTGTTATTCACAGATTAAAAGGGATCCTGCGAACCAATAATTATAACAATGAATAATTATAACACATGTATTTCAAATCAAAACTCTCTCGCTATGATCAAAAAAATCAAAAAAAAAGTTTTGTTTTATAACTTCACAAATATTAATTCGGCACACTATTCAACATATCAATAAATACCAAGTTAAGAATACAATGGATGGACCACAGGCATACTCGTTGCATTCCAAAACAATTCTACTTCTTTATTAATCATTTACAATACTTTCTTTTCCATTTTACTTAGCCAAACTTGACTTTTCAAGTGATTCACGTCTAACTTTGACTGATTATATATTTGTATAGAGAAAGTATTAATGATATGAAAATTATATGAAAATATTTTTTGTTGAAAATATTATCATAAAAGTATAAAATTATTAAATTTTGCATAAATATATTAGTGTAAATGATTAGTCAAAGTTTAGCACCTTTGACTGGAAAAGTCAAAGATGACTAAGTAAATTACAAAGTTTGACAATATTTTTATGGGAAAATTTCCGAAACAAAATAAAAATGTTTTGGAATTTTAGATAAAGTCTATTATTTTTTATACTCTATGTAAGAGTTATTGTTAAAAGCTTGATAATACTAAGGGGGCTTGAAAAATATGACAGTAATTACCGTAAGAAAAATATCTTTTTTATAGTTTACAAATATTTTTCATTCTATTTTAGGTAATTCTTTTATTTCTATCCCAACTAAGGGCATTTCCATCCAAATGATCTAACAAATGGGCAGGGGATCTATAAGGGCATCCCCATCCATAGATTATTTTTGGGATCATTTAGATGATGTGGAGGATTTTTTGGGGATCATGAATGAGAAGTTGAGATTATTTTATGAGATTGTTTGATAAAATAATCCGGTATCAAATTCTAAAGCTGAAGTATTTTGAGATTATTCACAACTTTTAGGCTCCTCTTCCTATTTTCTAGGGCAACTAATAATAACTAGCTTTATAAAACAATCTACGTAAGTTAAGATAATGGATGAGGAGAAATTGATGAGATTGGAGATTATTTGAGATTATCTTATATCGAAGTGAAATGAAAATAAGAAGACATAAAAAACCGTAAACTTAAGTGAATATACGAGTATAACATAATGAAGTCTTCATGATAATTGTAAATCTGTAATGTTATCTGTGTTGTAGTTTAGTATTTAATACTTAATTTGTTGTTTGTGAATGCTGATTATTTCCTAAAATAGAAATGAGAAGTTTTGAAATCATGTGAGAAACTTAAAATGGGACAAAGCACTTACTAATTTGGTATATGTGAGTTAAAATGAGAAGTTTTGACACGCCCCTCATTTGTAATGAGATGTCTAAAAGAGCCAAATAATTCTTAATGAGTTATTCTGAATGATGAGTGGTAAATAACATGAGGAAATTCTAATAATACGGGAGTATCGCAACTCCGCTGCAAAAACACGGGACCTTTCTCTAGTGTATCAAAATATGGGATTAGGAAATGGCATTTCGGATTGAATGCATAAGGGAAGTGGGTAGTGGGACCAAAATAAATATAAAATCCTACTTTTCGTTAAAATGTTATAACTTTTTTTTGTACTCCGATTTTTATAAAAAAAATTATATCTTTCATATAACACCAATAACATGAATATCATATAATTTTTTAAATAAATTGAAATTGGAACTGCTTACCTCTTGCAGTTGAAAATTCATTTTTTTTCGAAAAACCTTTTATATGCAATATTGATGTCATATGAAAGGTCATAAAAAGTTATGAATTTTGATATAGTTTTTGTAAAAATTAAAGTACAAATAAAAAAGTTAATAGTTTAAAGAAAAAGGATTTTAGTGTTTTGGTTGGCTCAACCTCTCTTCTCTCGGGCACCATGCTCCTACAAATCCCCTAAAAAGTCCCTTTGTTTTGCCTCAAGTGTTGGCATTTCCCAAATAACATTCAAATCATAACCTAATCCGGCTCTAGTAATCTACTGGAGCCTCCTTCCCATAAAATTGGAAATAATATGGGGATGTGTGGTTGTAGATGTGTAAGAACAATGTGAAATGAATGTAAACCACACAAATTGTCTAAAAATGGTAAGTGAGAATAATTTTTTAGGACGAATCAAAAAAGGATAGTGGAAAGAATTTTAGGAGACTATGTTAATAAATGCAATTCCATTCTAAATTATTAATTTGGTCAGAATAGTAACCCAAATGTTACTACCTCTTGTCCGATTTTGTGTGTTTTCTTTTGCTTTGACATCAATATTAATAAGTTGTTGAAAAGGAAAATACTGTTGTTGATCACTTCTTTTTTGACATTCATTTTTGGACAATTCAAAAAGTAAAGTGAGAAATTTGATATCAAAGAAAGAGACTACATACTCCCTTGGTCCCAAAAACAACTTCTCACTTTCCTTAAATGGGTGTTCCAAAATTAACTTTACACTTTTTCTCACTTCCTTATTTGGAAAATTATCAACATCAAAACAGTGTCAAACAGTGCCAAACAACGCTAAACAGTGTCCAAACAGTGCTAAACAGTGTCCAAACAGTGTCAAAACAGTAAATATTTGGGAAAGTCAAACCAAAATTTTAATCTACCTAAATGTGTGTGCTAGTCAAACTGAGAAGTTGTTTTTGGGATGGAGGGAGTATTATTTTAACATTTTATAGTAATCCACAAGTAATGATGAATAATTGGTAATCCTACATTAGTCCTACTGATAAGTGAGTCTATATATCGTTCGGACTAATTAATAAATGAGTCTATCAGACATTATGGTTTGGTACATAAGTGTGACATGTTATTATGTGAAAGGTACTTTACCTCTGAATTGACATAGAATTAGTCATTTTAAATCAAGTTAATTGGCCATGAATAATCATAAACATAAAAAGTACGCTAAATGAGTAGTCCTCCGTATATTACTTGTATTAATTGATTATAACTCAATAATAAAGAAAGTCTTAATTACCTGAAGAGCTTGAGCGCCCCAATAGGCAAAAAAGTACTCGAGCCATTTGGGGAGCTTGAAACTCTTGTGACACAGATTCCGGTGATAACCGAGCGTTATTCCGAGGCCGGTGACGACGTACAGCCCTAACCACACCCCTACACAATCCCAACTGAAATAAAATGGGGCAAACCCAGCCAGCAGGTGAACCAATGGCATCACCACAATTGAGGATGGTTGACCCGGCCCGATTCGTAGATATTTCTCCATTAATTTTTCTTTTTCTAGCTCTTAAACTAATTTGTTGAGAAGCAATGCAATATAACTATATAAGCCAGCCCAGGATCGGAGAGATAGATTATATTCTACCAAGAAAGAGTTAGGTATAATAATGCGGAAGTTCAATTCCTACAAAACCAAGGGATCCTAGCTAGCTACTTATAGTATGTCGTCAAAGATTCTAATCGAACATAAATAAACGTACACGTAGCAGTTAATACACACCTACATTCAATATCTACCGCAATGTATATGAATATGTATTACTCTCATTGATATTCATGTAATTTCCGATTGTATGTTTGTATTTTTAACTATTTTTTATTATTTCTAGTTGAAGAAATTACACACTTTTGGTGTAATACTTTATTTTCATATTTATTTGTAATTTGTTTAGATTAGGACTTTTTTGAGCTAAACAGGTCAAAGATCATCCAAGGGATCAAGATTGGACCTTAAAAGATCAAGGGAAGTGCAAGGAGGCAAGAAAGATTTCGATTTGGAAAAAATACTCATGTACCCGGTCGGGTATTGCCTATATCCGATCGGGTATTTTCTTGATTCGATTGTCCAAATCAAATCCGGAAACAAATGATCATGGGAGCAATTTTTCGTAAAGATTCGTCACATACCTGATCGGGTATGTCAACACACTCGATCGGGTACGCCCAGAAAAGTGAATTTCTGGGAAATTTCCTAAGATACCCGGTCGGGTATCCTATATACCCGGTCGGGTATCAGACCTTGCAGCTCCCAAAAGCCTATAAATACCCCCCTTTCCTTCCCACAAAGATCACCAATTCCTATATACTTCTAAGCTCAGTCTAGAATAGTTCTTTCTTTATATCTTCTTCATGTTTAGTCTCCAAATGAGGAGCTAAACTCTTCCATCTTGGTTTTGCTACTTTGAAGCTTAATGAATTTGTAAGTTGTGAGTTATTTTCTTTAATTTTCTTCCTTGAATATTAATTCTTCCTTTAACTACTATTTCTATATCAATGTTGGGGAGTGTTACTAAGATGACAATTAGTTAACATCTTGACATTAGTTATAGTAATAGTTATTTCTTCCTCTATATTAATATTGGGGAGTGTTACTAAGATGACAATTAGTTAACATCTAGATATTAACTATAGTAGGATTCATACTCTTCGTCCAAAAGGTTGAATCCCCAACCCCAAGGGCCCCCCCACCCCGACCCGACAGGATGGTGGGGGAGTAAATCACGGTGACTCAGTCGGCAAAGCGGCAGTAGGCCTTTACCCGTGCGCACCAGAGGGCCAGCCTTATTTCAGGTTCTGAAAACCCCCTTTTGGCCGCTGCGGGATTCGAACCTTGGTCTACGTCCAATTTTTCCCACCGCTCGACCAACTGAGCTACCCGTGCGGGTAGGGATTCATACTCTTTAATATTCTTCCTTGAGTATTAATTAATTCATATTCATATTTCATATTAATATTTTGAACATTCCTTAAAGAATCAACTAGTTTTGTTTCATATATTAATTATTACTAGAATCAATCGATTAATACGCTTGTTATTAATTCGGTTCCTTCAACGGTAGTAAACTCGGATTGTTAATGCATGCGTCTCGTGATTAATAATCTAAGGGGAATTAAATATATTGATTAAACCAATGAACCGCTTGTGTTGAGGTTATCATTCTCAATCGTTTTCATCTCAAGTTTATTGCTACTATCGTGTGAATATATGGCGCGTGTTCTATATTAACTCGGTAGTAAGTTTTATTAATGAACGCGTCTCGTTATTAATGACTACCCTCGATGAACTGGATATACTCCTCGATTGAGTATTCGAGAGGAAGATAGTTAAAGATATAACCAGGATCGACGAACATTTCGTTAAGTGGATAAAAGCAAAACCAAGTCCTCATCTCTATAAATTAAACTCATATAAGTCATTTATCTTAGTGTTAATTAAATTCAATCAAATCAAACTTAAAATCCCCCTTGTTACTATTTATATAAGAGAAAAATATTCTTTTCCATGTGGATACGAACCTTACTTTACTATACTACGTATTAGTGTTGTATTGATTAATTATTTTGAGTGCACCTCACGACAAGTGCACGTCACTTATCTTTTTATAACTTTGTCAAGTTTGACGAAAACACGACATGTGTGATTGAGCTGGAGAGAATATACCACGAGTCACAAAAAAGTTGTTTTAATGGGTGATTGGAACCGATTCTGCTTGTACCTCTCTCTTTTAAAAGTAAAAGCAGAATCAGAATTAGTTTTTCAAAAGTTGGTTTCTCTCAGTTTCTAAAAATTTGCTTCTATTAACAATTTAGAGCATCCAAAAGTATTTTTTCACGTTCACCACACATTCCAATAATATATGTTTATGCTCCCAGAAAGAGGAGAAAAAGTTTTAAGTAGATTCAAACAATTCATTAAAGGAGTGTGAAAATATTTTTTGGATAAAAACATGATAAATTTATAAAGGACGATCGACCTAGGTGTAGCTAGGGGAAGGCCTAATCGCATCCCGACCCATGACCCATCCCAAATTTCAACAAAAAAATATATTTTAAATACGAAGTATAAAATTTTATTTAAACTAATTATTTGTTGCGGCCTTTTGTGACCTGTGCTCCTAGCTATACCACTGAGAGATGGGAAGTAGTAAATATTGAGTATATACTCGATATAAAGTAGTAAATATTGAGTATATACTCGTTATAAAGTACAAACAATGGTATTAATATTACTCCCTAAGTTTTCCAAATATATAATTTCACTTTATAATTTTCCAAATATATAACCACTTAAGTCACATTTTTGTCTAAATTCAAATATGGTCACATTTTAGGAAATTAGCTTTAGATTAGTACTCCCTCCGTCCCCCAATTAAGTTACCACTTTCCTTTTTGGACAATCCCTAAATTAAGTTCACACTTTTTTACTTTTCTTATTTGGCAAATTATCTACATCAAAACAGTGTCAAACAGTGCAAAACAGTGTTTGAACAGTGCAAAACAATGCACTCCACAGTACAGTCAAATTTATTTTCTTAATACGTGTGAAGTCAAACCGGGAATTTAATTGGGGGACGGAAGGGTAATATTAAAGGAAAAACCCATATAAAGTGTTTATCTATTTCAGTTGTACATGTGTTCATAATTTTCTTCTTTTATTTGTTTCAAAAACTTTTTCACTTTAATTCATTACAATGTTAAAAAATGGTGATTATGTTTATTCTTCCATATGTATAAACCTCAATAACATAGTTTTTACTTTTTCTAATTTAACTGTGAGTTCAATACTGTTAATGTGAAATGGGATAGAGATATACTCTCCCCGTCCCTTAAAACTTTGTCAACTTTCCTTTTTGGGATGTCTCACTAGCTTTGCCACTTTCCTTTTTAGGTAAAGAATTTGTGGTTCTAGTTAATTCTCTCTCCTTTGCACAAACCTCAATCGCAGATTTTACTTTATTAATCCCCGTGTCAGTCAAACTTAGCAAAGTTTTAAGGGACGGAGGGAGTATAATATTACCTCCGTCTCAAGTAAAAGTTGTCGTCCATTACTCTCTACTCAATATAAAGTGATTTTTAATCCTTTCACTTTATATATCTAAGTTTTATCATATTTGAGTTACTTGCGAGTTTATACAAATTACGGAGTATAATTTATTTTTTGAATATATAAATTATACTTATGTAAAACAATTTCATCAGTGACATACATAAGTTAATTTTATAAGCAATCAATTTTTTTTCAATCAAACATGATAATTCCAAGAGGACTAGGACGTAGGGGAGTGTATAGAAACTAGGAAGTAATTACTGTGTAAATACTTGTTCCAAAAGGTTAAGGCTCAATCTCAAGCTCCCCCATTCACTCGACAGGATGGTGAGGAGGTTAATCACGATAACTTAGTCAGCAAAGCGACGGCAGACCTTATATTATACACGTGCGCATCAGAGGTCCAGCCTTATTTCAGATTCTGTAACCTACACACGATCGATGCGGGTTTCGAACCTTGGTCACTTGGTCTAATTTTTCCACTACTCGACCAACTGAACTACCTGTGACGGTATTAGTGTGTAAATACTTTATCTCCCTCTGGATAGCTAGGTCGGTCTCACGTGCACGCACACCGCCAAAACCCCACTCCCTTGATCCTTCTCAATTATCATCATTACGGCTTTGGCTTAGCTTCCTGTGCTGGAACAAGCCTAGCTATTAGAGACACTAAAAGTAAATGAAATGGGGCTGTCTTTCGTCCTCGACACATGCATGTATGCATTCAAGAACTCTGACTACTCAACTCCACCCATATTTACTCAATTAATAAAAAGTATGACACTCAATCTTTGAGGGAGCCCTCAATCTCGATCAGACGGTACGTTGACAGGATGTAAATTAAACTATAATCTCAATCTGATAGATAGAGAGTGAGGCTCTGTCCTCGATACTTGCAGAGATCTAGCATTTAGCATAATCACCTCTCATCGTAATTGTCGAACTTCGAACCCGAGACATAACACTTGTGGCATGTCCTCACTATCAATTGGGCTACGTCCACCGGTTATTTACTCAATTAATCATTTCAAGGAAATGTTCATCCATATATGGCCAAAGAAAAGTCACATAACGAAAAATGTTTTTTTATAAATGTTCATAAGAATTGTCCTTAATTGTTCTTTCATAATACAAATGGGACATAGATTAAAATTGTGGATATAATATAGTGCAGAGTTGTCCAGAAGAAGGAAAAATGTATAAGAAATAATGTGAACCACAAATTTACATCAAAAATGGAAAGTAGATTTGAAGTTTTATTCGGATGAAAGATAAAAAGAAAATAGGGAGTATTTTTCGATTACTAAATTACATTTCCTTCGATCAAGCATCTTCTGAGACTCTGAGTCGTCTATGATATCACGTACTATGACATTCCCCATATCACATGATCGAAAGTCATCTAGATTAAAAAATGTTAACATTTAACATAGACCTAATACAATATACTAAAAAAATTATATTTCCGTCTATTATTCTCAATAAATACTTCATATACTAGTGGCAGTTGGTTGACATACTATCGTCTCGAGAGCCACTACTGCTAATAAAGAATAGAAAAAATTGATGATAATAATCTCAACTATTACCGGCCCGCTTAATATAATCTCAAC